GCTACAGCCATGAGATGATAGGCTGAATCTGAGTATATAGTAGTATATACTGCATCCAAGGGCAAAATTCATATTGCAATGAAGCTGCTGAAAGAAATTGGTAGGCTGATGGCCACCCCACAGTGTAATGGAACTGTCTACATTTACATAAGACAAGTATAATCTCAAGACAAGCACTCGGAATTCGATTCGAGCGTAAAACTCGACTCATGCTCTAAACGAGCTGAATTTGAACAATTTTTAGGCTCATTTAAAAAACGAACTTAAAAGGTTCGACTTGTTTGTATATAAATAGTCGAATTACTCGAACTCGACTCGAATTTTAAACAAGCCGAACTTGAAAAAAAAATTTATGTTCATTTAGAAAAACAAGCTCGCAAAGCTCAACTCAATTAACACCCATACATTTACCATTCATGTTGTGCAAATCACTGAACATTCTGAAACTATTAAAGCATGCTAAAAGTTCCTCGACAATCTATGTTAGGAAGTCCATAAAGCACACAAATCTGGCTATAGCTAATTTCATCAACTGACCTTCAGATGCTATTGTGGCAAGACAAACATCAGAAAGTCCAAGATCCTTCAAACTCGGTGAATCCTCAAATCTTTGAGCATATAATAGGAATAACAAGAGATCCCATATCCATCAAACATTTTCATAGAATTAGCTCATAATAAACAAAAATAATCTTCCTATATATCTTATTGGCTGGACAATCTTTCATTTAATTGACTCAAAACATTAGGAAAAATACTGGCAAATTTCCGTCAAGCTTAAATATTGCTTTAATTCAACTTATGTACAACATTGCGAAAAATCTGTTTATAAGATACTATATGCCCCATTGAAGTATTAATAGCAACCCTTTTCTTGTTTGATAAAAGAAGAATTGTATTATATAAGGAAATTAATTTGAGGTGTCAAAATATAGTACGACTTATCAACGCGATATGAAATTAGAGAGTTTGAATCTTATTTAAACACTCGTTTCATAAACGAATGGACCTAATATGATATGATTAATAAACAAATCGAATATGAGTAAAGTCAATCAGAAAAAATAAATGACACGACTCGTTTATATACTGGTTATACACAATTTATATATGATTGAATCCAATATGACACAATTCATTAGACACAAATTAATAAACGAATCGAATATAAATGAAATATCTTTTAATACGAACCCATTAAGACACAGCTCGAATTCGCTATTGGGATTGACAGCCCTAATATTAAATAACCACCCCTCTAAAATTTAAAATTTCACCCCCCAACTTAGCAGAATAGTTGTGGCAACTGCATTCAGTTTTCTCAGCTACCAAGCACGCAAATCAAAACTACATACCGAGAAAAAGGATACAAAGGGTCCTCTTCTGTTTTCTTCAAGTCCATCCCACGAGGAGGAGATGAATTATCATTAAACTCTTCTTCTTCATCAATCTCAAATCCTTCTGCAAAAAAAAAAATGAAGAAGAAAATTAAATAAATTGGGGGAAAAAAAGCCGAAAACCCCAGTTGGGTTTGTCTTTTTTTGGGTGAAACGGTGTACCGGGATTGTATCCGAAGCCCTTGAGACGGTCCCCCAATTCCACAATATCACTCTGGTTCTTCTTGTAAACCTCATTGCAGTGACCCAATAACTCCTCGAACGACACCGTTCCGAACGACATCGATTCCAGCAAGTTTAGGTCACTGTTGGTTGATGAGACTTTACGGTTCAGGCATTGAACGAACGTCGACGAAGCAGAGTCTAAACCATAATTTTATAAAGAAAAAAAGGAATGAGTAATGGGGATGTTTGACAGCCAAGAAAATTTATGCGAAAAGAAAAGAAAAGAAAATGGGTAATTTACCAAGAGGGATAGGACGGCGTTCAACGGACTGTTTGAGGGCGTCACAGCTGCTTTGTAGGTGATTGCAGAAACTCGCTAGGGTTTTGCAGAATTTCCCAATTGAGTCGTCCATCTGTCCCTCTCTCTCTCTCTCTCTCTGTGGAACTAAGACTTCTGAATAGAGAGGCCGGTTTAAGCGCCTTTCTGAAGTTTGAAAATATGGGCACAAACTATAATGGCAAAGATGGGTTATGGGGATTTGGTACGATGGGTTTAGAGAAAATGATTCAATTCCGATCTGTACTTAGCCTGAATGCTTAAACTCATAAACAAACATGGGTTTAGCAAACCCACGGGGTGGGTTTCGAAGAGGCCAAACTGGATACACTTGATAAAATACATTTGTACCCTTTAATTTAATTTACTATCTACCCAAATCCAATCAATCTTGACCCAATATAGTCATTTAAATAACAAATGTATGGTAATAAATTTATTGGTCTCACATGTGTATATAAGTGGAAATAAGATTCATGTATGAGTCTTTATGTACAAAAAGGTGAAGATTGGATTTAGATAGGTTTGATAATTCTAATACAAACAAAAAATCCAAACATGTCCTGGGTGGGGGGGGGGGGGGGGGGGGGGGGGGGGGGGGGGTTTGGATTTTTTGAAACAATAATGTTAGGGAAATATTTTTCGAATTTTATTTAAGGGCCTAATGATGTATAACTATTGGATTGATTATGAACTCCACTAACATTGGAACTCAGAACTAATCTATTTGTTGCATTGAAGGCACATCATTCGATCTCTAAATAAGGTCTGTAAATAAAGTCCCTATAGCATTGCTCATAATGTTATTTATTCACCCAATATTTGAGTTTAAGTCTCTACAACTATGACAACTCAATGGAGCTAAACTTACTCTTCAGTGAAACCTTAGCTTCCACCTCAATGAGGGTCTCTTGCATATAGATGAGGGGCAATGTTATGTAGAGTGGTCTATTTACATATTTATTTTAAGCTTAAAAAAAATAAAAAATAGTGTTATTTGTACTTAATTTATTAACCTAATCTATTATAATTATTGGATTGATTGTAGGTTCGATATATGCTGGTGTGCACTATCAATCCCAATAAAATGGAAAGAATTATTAAAAATGAATTTCGTAATCACTTAGATAAATTCATTGTTTTAAAGGTCAATTTGGTTGGGTCAAGTCCAATATGGATCAAGATAATCACTGGATCAATGAATTGCTTAAATGCAATCAAGTTTTATTCAAAGTGCTTAACCTGGTGGAGTTCATCCTCAATTTCATGGCAAAGCATGAAATTTTTAAATTTTAAACCTTGATTTCAATATTAACATGTTGTACAATTGGCCATATTCTAATTTCTATACTATTATTATGTAAACTCCAGTTGAAAATATACTCGTGAGTGAAACAAGGTATATTTAATTTCCTTGTTTTCCATGACAGTTTCCCTAATTAAATCCATGAAATAAAAACCATGGGTTTCATGACAATTAGAAGAGCTGATTTTTTGTTTTAAGTTTTTTGTGTCTTTTGAGATTCAGATTATGAGTATTAGGACTTGACTATAGTACCCAAAAAAACAATTGGTACCATACCTCTAAAATTGACTATTTCAATGAATACTTTTACAACTCATGTGGATCATTTTATAACTAAAAAATTTATTACATTTGTGGGTTATTTACCACTTTTGTAACTATTTTTATCACATTTTTTCAGTACCACCACAATGATAAAAACACTCACAAACGTTATAAGTATCAGTACAATACTATTTTTTTTTTTTTTGAGTACCGTAGACATTTCTTGAGTTTTATGCAACAACAATGATACTGTGACCAAATTTGGGACAAAAAACTGGCACAAATGATGTGGTAGTCTCTCCCCTCAACAAGTAAAAGGGCCCAAAAACACCAAACTGATTGTCTTGGTTTACCATAACATTTAGGCTGCAAATTTGGTCAGTTTTGCCTGCATTTCTGTTGATGTTTATGACTTGGATATACAAATTCGGATCCGGAAAAAAAAATTAAAAGCATCAAATTTCAGAGACCAATTTTTTTCCCAGAAGAAGGATTTCTATATATCTCGAAAAAAGGCGACGCGACAAAAGGCTATGAAAGAAAAAACAAAGTCATATATACATAATTTACACATGTTTACTCTCTCTCTCTCTCTCATACACACAGTATATGTGAAAGCTCTCTGATGATAATTTCAGGTGAGTTCACCTTTGAGAGTATAGGCAACCCTTTGAATGGCCCTGGCAACCCTCCAGATCTCATGCTGAATTGCTGCCTGCTGTTTGATCTTGTTCATTCTTATGGATGGGAAGATATGATCAACTACCCCAGGGAAGAAAGCCAGTTTGCTTTCACTGCCACTATGAGGCCCATAAACCTGCATTCAAATGCCATTACATAATGAGTGAAACTTGCAAAAACTACAATGGCTGCCAGAATGATTTTTTCCAATGACATGTGCTAGTTTTCAATGAAGATGAGAATGCAGAAGCCTGAAGTTGCAACTTCACACATGTCTAGGTAATCGTTCAAGGTTCAACCATTGTCTGGGGCAGGTGCGAGGTTGGGGCTAAAGTTAAGGGCCATCTCAAGAAGTCCATTTTAGCCCCTGGCCTGAGAGAACTTGGACAAAGTTCCGTTTCAACCTCCAAATCACTCCAATTCTAAAATCTGGCCAGCTGAATGTTGACTCAAATTTGAGTCAATGTTGGAGATGTCCTAAGACAAGTTTACTGTTAGCTAAAAACAGACACTCAAATGAAACAATACTTTCCCCAAAGATGTTACAAATGGAATGGAGTGTGATGGTCATCATATGTATTCTGCTGAAATTGTTGTATTTGAAAGAAAAACTCTTACGAGATGCTTGAACCATTCCTTCCCTTCAAGCCCCTCAGAATCCAAGAAGCCTTTCTCAGCAAACATCAGCTTATCATTCAATATCCGCCGCTTCAACAACAAAAGTTCTCCCACAGTTTCTTGCTGTCTCAATCTCTGCGGTACAAAGTAATATTGATAAGTACAATTGAGATGGTGAGGACTAAAAGGATAGTAAAGGCACAGGAAGTTAATTAAAGGATAAATTACTTTCACCCCATTATGTTTAAGCCAGCGACATTTTATTCTCATTTTTATAACACTACACTACACCCCTCTTAAAGTTTAGAACCAAAGTGCACCACCAACTAACGTGATTAATAATTGGAAAATAAAGATGAGGGATCTATTTTTAATCTTACAGTCTTTTTTTCTTCCTAAATGATTCAACTAATTGAATAGATATATTTAATGCATAAAAAGAGACAAAAGAGAAACAAGTTGTTTATTTTAAAGGAAAAAAAAGAGAATAGATACAAAATGTACAAGGCCACAAAAGTTATTTTGACTGCTAGTTTCTAGAAAATTTTGACTTTAAAGCTCTCATCGTTGATTCACCTGCAATTGTAGGTTATTAAGCCACGAGGAAAAAATCACCGGCTTAAACCACATAATTAAAACAGGATAAAAAAGAGAGACACAAGAAGAATATCTCAGAACTTCTATCTAACCTTTGCTTCCTCCTCAACTTTTTTAGCTGCAGCTGTGAGCTCTTGAATGGCAGCAATTATAGGATCCAAAGAGACATTTCCTTCCAACAAGTTGCTCAAGATATTTGTATACTCCTGCCACAAAATTTAAAATCTCACCAAAAAAGGAAAAGAGGAAAAAAGAAAAAGAAAAATCTACAGAGATTTAGTCCCACGAAAGGAAAGATTCATTGTGAAAATTGTGTATAATGTGGTTGGTTAAAAATGTGTTATGGTGGTTGTAACACTATCTTTAATTTCATCAAACATCAATGCTCTCTCTCTTTATCGTGTATCTATTTCTTTCATTATGAGAGTTGTTAAATAATCATTTGCTCCAAAAGCTTAGGCAGTCAAAAAATGTGTAACTTAGGTATTTATACTTCAAGACGCCCCATCATATGTTGCCTAGATTTTGGGTCTAGCATGTGAAAACTCTTTTAATAATTAAGGTGGTGGCGAGATTTAAAAACAGGACCTCCTACTCTGATACCAAGTTAAACAACAATCTACTCTAAAACTTAAAATGTTGAAGAGGATGTAACTTAAGTATTTATATTTCAACTAGAGTAAATAACAAGACACCAGCATGAAATAATTGTCATTCGAAGTCCAACACTGGGAACAATTAATAAGAGCAAGTATCCTGGGATATTGTGGTTGAATGGCGCCAAACCTCAAATACCATCACAAATGAACATTAATTGGGATAAATTGTGAAAGCTCAGGTGTGCTAGCAATAAAAAAAATAGATTTCAACCCAATTTTAACAGGTCAAGCTGAGACCAGCATGCTTTTAGAAACTACAGTATTTAGAATAAAGGAACTCGAAGAAATGGACTCAAAATAATCTAAAGAAAAACTGATACCTGCAACTCAGCTGCATAACAGAGGTAGTTAAACGGTAGAATTGGATCATCAGCCAGGTGAAGTGCAAGAAGTCCCCAGACTCCAGTGACTGAGATGACATAAACAATAAAAGCCATGTCATCTTCAACAACCGACAATATGGTTGTGCATTAGAAATGTATCGATCACAAATTAATACAAAAGCATGTCTCAAGGAAATAAGAAGCTTACCAGCCACATGACGCTGAAACAATGGATCTCCAAAATTTGTCATCCAGTTATAAGAGTCAAAAGCAGTGTGATAGACTGTGAAATCTGCATACAGATGAAGATTGCATTAAATATATGACTAGTACCAAGTGCAATTTTTACAGGTTGCATTACAGATTTGTCTAGCATAAATGCAAGTTAATCGTTCAATAATCACAGCTTGTTTCCTCCCCAAAGGCAACAATGGGCTACATGGAGAAAGATGACTTCCCCAACTCACAAATCCCCAAACCCAGATAAAGGAAGTGTTTCGATGCTAGGTCGCTAACAGACACTACTAAGGGATTTTACTTCCATTAAGCCATGATTTTTTTGGAGAAGGAAATACACTCTTAACAGTTGGACCACCAAATAGGAAAGGAAGCAACTCACAAACGAGGATGACATTGGGAAATATTCATTTCACGAAGCTTAGAAACTTTTTCTTCACTTTAAACATGCAACAATACAGACACAGCACAAACAATTCATGGAAAAGAACAGCACAGGCATCCCAGCACAACAAAAGAAAATTAGATGACAGCTGGATATTGTAAATTCCAATAACAACCAAAAACCGAACTCAGCAAAAGCTACCATAATATTATTCAAATGGTTTTGTGAAGTATAGTGAAGCACATAGCCTCTTTTAAATGTCCATCCTCTACTATGTTTATTATTTTATTTTATTTTTGCATGTAAATGTTTATATCTGTTCAGAATAATGTATGATTGATCTTTGGATTTCCAAATATACAGATATTTGTGTGGGAAGTAATATAGAGACATTTGTCATATTGCTAATCAGGTACAACATTAATTTGAGTACATACACTTAAGAGATTGGGTTCTCTTCTCTCTTAGAACTTATATAAATAACATAAGGACTATATTGAAACACATAGCTGGACAAAGTATCAATTCGATAAATAATATAAGGACAATACTGAAACACAGCGCTGGACAAAGTATTTGCTGTACGACTTCCCCAAAGGCAACTATGCAGAAAGTATGATAAGAATTGGTAGACAATATATTTCTGATGCGATGGAATGGGTATAATTATCTGCAACACAAAGCCCTTTAAAAATTCCAACCACCATATCTACATACAGTACTAGTAAAAGAGAAGTACCTCTGCCATAGTACATATCAGTGGAAGGAACCCCTGCATGTTGCAAAAACGGAGCAAAATCTGAATCTACTCCACTGAGTCTCTGGATCTGCAACATAGCGAAGACAATCTAGATTAATAAACTGTCAGGAGTCATATTTGGAACATCTGAAAAAAAGTTGACATCAAAGAGGGATGGTAGCAAAAATAAGAAAATAACCAGCCCCAGCTTTTAAATGTGCAGATGGTCAATTCTGGTACCAGCAGCTGGAACAAAGGCCTTACGATAGTGGCAAATAGGGGTGAAGGCTGTGAAGCTAATGGTTGACATTGAGACATGGTGGAAAAAATTGTCTTGGTTGCACTAGTGATATGAAGCTGGAAAATGCTAAGGAGAGGTAGAGGACATTCTTTTGATTATTCTGAGATAAATGGGTGGCAGTAATTGTTGCTGTACTCCCTCCCCCTCTCCATTCCCTTACCCAAAAAAAAAAGTAATTGTTCCTGTACTGTGCAACCCTAGGGGATGTGAGAATAGAAAAATGGATTATTTGCATCAAATGCAGTGAGCACATTCCAAAAGTCAAGGAGAAGAAAGAAGGGGGGGAATAGTTTGTTGGAAAGGCCACTTCTTTAATCCTGATTAAAAGTCTGGTGATGCAACAAGTGAAATCATTTTGCACTACGCACACAAAGCTGCAAGCCCCAGTAAAATCCAATTGATGTTATTTTCTCGAAACCCTAGCTAAAGCTGTATGCATGCAATGAACACATTTCAAGTGCTCACATAGGGTGAAAGTCTTTAATAATCACCTACCAACCAGAACTGCGATGAACTCACCTTTATACCATTATTGGTAGCTCTCCATTTATCATGTAATGTCGCATCCTCTGAGTCAGGATCTCTAACCTTAAACCGTTACATAATCACAATTGAAAATAAGTTGTCAGAGACCAGGCATGATCATTGAATTCAAATCAGGAAGCAATGCAGAGAAATTTGAAATTTGTGTAGTCTCTAAATTTTCTGTTTACCTTCTTTGTCACATCAATTAGGAGATTGTCTAGCTGGGGAGTTGCCCTGGCAAAGAATCCAGGCCCTTGAACCGCACAATCCACATTCAGGTAGGCTACAGCTTTAGAACCCAGATTCAAAAGGTTTTGCTCAACCCATTCAGCAGATCCTATCAGAAACCACACCATCAAAACCAAAGGACTTTTGATTTCAATAAAAATAAAAAATTATGCTCAGGTGGAGATTTATATCAAAAGAAGAAATTTATGCTCAAGTGGAGAAAGCATGGTAAGTTGATGACTTATAGAAACTGCCTTCAACATTAGAGACTACACAGTGAAAAGGGGAGCGACGGTTGACCCATGGCAAATTGTAATTTATGAACAGTTCAACCAAGAAGAGGGAGGATTCTATCTTTCAGGGTTTGTTTTATCGAGAAAGTTTGCAGCAAAACACAAATCAGATGAACTATTAGAACACTTCAATGTGCCACTTGTGATGTGTAGTAAGAAGGTATTGCAACTATTGAAAGACACCTACAAGGCTACCTACTACCGTGCCTTACAGCTATTTAACCATCGCTTTGTATCCTCAGGGCCCAGTGCCCAATATCAAGATATATGACATGACTAAAAATTTAGGGTTCTTGGTCTCATATTCCGGATTCTAACACTCCCATTAAAACATCATAGGTTTAAGCATGGATGTTTAATCAAATGGCTTCCCCGGACATTCCACAGCACAGTATCATTGTCGGCACAGTTGTATGCATTCATTTCACCATCTGAACTTTTAGACACTCATACTCACAATGCCATTTCACCCTACCAGCAGTCAGGGTAAATGCTAGTGACCAGTGAAGATAGAATATTACCTACCATCCCAAACTCTTCTGCATCCCAACTGCATAGAATGATTGTCCTCCTAGGATTCCACCCCAAGCGCATTAGAAGAGCAAATCGACGGGCAATGTCAAGTAGGGCTGCAGTTCCACTATTGGGGTCAACTGCTCCATAAGTCCACGCATCTCTATGGTTTCCGAGTAGTACAAAGCGGTCAGGTTCTTCTGATCCCCTTATAACGGCAAAAATATTGTGGATTGTTGCCATTTTTTTCTCCCCCTGAAAATAGAGTTGTTTTAAATGTGGAAAATATTTAAAAAGTTTGTGAAGCAAGTCTTCTCTTTTACAATTCTACTTTCCATTATTCTACTACACATCTTTCTTCATCTTTCATTAGTAGCACAAATATTTATGATTAAATAAAGATACCAAAATAAAAGGGCAATAAATAGTAATGCACTCCATGGTGATTGGAAACATTTATATATTTAGTTAAGAGGCCAAAGTTATGCTCATAAACAGCACCTCAACACTCCAAATATTAAGAACTGCTGATGCAGTCAAAACAGGTTAACCAAAAGAAATAGGATTTTAGGATGCATGTAAACCTTAACAAGACATTATTCAAATGGAAACGACACAAACAAGAGCAGCCATCAAAAGGAAGGCCATGTGCTACACGGATCAAAGCAATAATCATACCAGATGAATGGCATGTTAATAGCCACTATAAATCCTTATTTTCCTTCATTCCAAAGAACTTTATTATTTTCACGAAAGAAAGATCTTTTGGGCAGGAACACAAAATGGTCAAAAGTGTGAAGAGAGATATATCACATGACCAAATGTTGGTTTATATTCTTAAGGACTTACTCCACCCATTGTCAATTGGTTGTGAATTGAATGTTCTAACATGGTGTCAAAGTTATGGCTTGGGTAGTTGGTCGGCTAAATCTCTCACCCAATTGAATTCTCTGGTTTGTTAATCTGTTTATTTCAGTTTGGTTCCAGTCCATTGTTTGTCTATTTTAGTTTAGTTTGTTAGTCCACATGTGAGTCCTTGTCGCACAGGAGAGTGTTAAGAGAGATATCACAAATCAAAAAATTAAATAGACCCAATGTTAGTTTATATACTTGAGGGACTACTTCATCCATTGTCAATTGGTTTTTGGTTGGATAACAAAAAGGAATCTCAATTATGCTTTATTGTTTTGCTTTCCCTTCTAAATGCAGTTTTCCTCTTCCAAAGGATATCATATCTTTCTCTCCTTTGTATCTTCTTCTTCCTATCTGAAAAGTTTTTCAGAACTTTGTTATAATTGAAAATTGTAATGAAGTAAGACTACTAGACAAGCTTGCACTCCTGCCAATGAAGATATAGCAAAAGCATTTGGTGTTGTGGATATTGATTTGTTTTGTTTTGAGTTGGCATTTCAGTTTCACTAATACATTGGGTTGCATTAGACATGCAAACCACATCAGTCAACCAACAATCAATGCTCAACCTTTCCCATACAAGAGCTACATTTTACAACAATATTCCTGATGCTAGTTCAATTCCTTCCAACAACATTTTCCATTAAAATTAGAAGATATATTCCCAAATATATGTCATTTCTCTGAACAGATCCTTACAGAAAGGACATCCACCATTATGGCAGTAGTTTCCACCTTATCAATTCGTTCTACATTACCATTTCAACCAAGTAAAAACCAAACTAATATCCTTTGAGAAATAGCAAAGCTGTCAAAGAAAGTTGATATCAAATTTCTATGCAATGCATAATGGAATAGAACAACCCATTAGTGAAACAAAAGTTACAAAGATCAACTTGAGTTTGATGAGGCACTGGTTTCAAATCATATGTTTAGATTTGAGAATCAAAGAACATTAACAAATGCAATGGCTAGTCATTAAGCATGATGATCTTTTTCTACACTAGGTACAAAAATTAGAGGAGTTACATGACAATAATCCTAAATCATTTAAAGTGTTGAATCTAGGGTTTGGCCAATCAATGTATGCATCCAGTGGTTTACCCCTATAAGTGGGTCCACTTACCGGTCAATAGAGTGAGGATTCGTCTGGACATATCGAATATTTAGAGGAACCTCAAGATTAAGTGAAACATGCTAAACGGCAATCTCATGAACAATCTGTAATGCTGACATGCTTTGTTTTGATTCGATATAAAGTCACACATTACAAGAGGAACTTCCACTATATCTATATCCAGATCATAACCACCAATTGCACAACATATTAGCCACATTTGAACAATTCATTATCATTTGCTCCAATTTGGATCAACTTTAACCAAACTGCATCAATATTTGTTAGAATTTTAGTCCAATTAATAATACTTATAGTAAAAAAGTTGGTCTTTTTTAAAATTTGTCCTGAATTTAATAATTGGATTCAATCCCAATTCAATTTCGAGTATCCAATTAAAACCCTTATCCAACTTTTACAAAAACAACCAACACAATACAAAAGACCATTTCATTCCACATACAAACAATGCTACCTATACCCAAAAATTTTAAAATCAGGATCCTAACTTGAATCGATGAGAGAGACTAAAGGATTGGGATCGTATGATCTATTGAGAATCGTCGATTCTACGAAATGAAAATATAAGATGAAAAACATGTGTAACAGTACAATACTCTCAAAAAAGCTTAGTTTAAAGAGAAGAGACTAAAAAGTTGAGAGAATGACGAATAAAAACCTTCAAATGTTCGAGATTCAATAAAAAAAAAAACAGGAGAGAATGAAAATGAAAACTAATATGATCACTCACCAAGAAAAGGGATCAAATATATAGTTGTTTTTAACTTTTCAACGAGAGGGACAAACAAATGAAGATAGTTTGCTGTAACATAGAATTTTATGTAGCTTTTTTTCATTTATATGAGACAATCACTTGGGTCAGCTTAATAAATAAATGGACCTAAGAGACAAATCCAACAACTTGAACTGATAAAACTGTAATTTGGATCAACATTCGAAATCCTACAAGATCTGGATTACGATATCTATTAGGAATTTTGAAAAAGACTCGGATCTATTTCTGATCATAAGATCCTAAGTTCCTAATCAGGTATAAATTCAATGAAGTAACATTGTAACAATAAGCAAACAAATATAAAAAGTATACCTACCAACCTGGTAAGTAAAATTCAGCATTGTTGGGCCTGGCCCGACCCTCTGAACCTTAGTCTTTAGGGTTCCCAACCACTGAGAGGGCACTCTGGCTCCCTCTAGTGAACTCAAAATGGTCTCAGCCCTTTCTGCCGATATTGGCATGGAGGGTATTTTCGGGAACCTTTGAATTACCTGATCCTCCTCCACCCCTAACCTTTCTCCATTTTCAACCCCGGCCCACCCAGGGCTTAGTGGGTCCCCCAAACCACCCATCACCGTCCCTCTCTCCACCCCTTCCCTAAAGCTATCCCCCTCCGTGTACATTAGCACCGCCGCCACCCCTTTCTCTGCAGCCTTCACAACCACGTCATTCCTTGACATCCCACCACCCCTCCGTACAATGGCTATACATCCCTTAACCTTCACCCCTTGCTCGCGCAGCGCACGGTAGTCCTCCTCCTTCCCATAGTTCACAAAAACCACCTCACCATACGCCGACCCAGATGGTGAGTAGGCGTGGTATGGCCTTACAACGCCGTTTTGGGTAACACCCGGTTCAGATAGCGGGAGAGAGACGACGGTGCCGTTGCCAAAGTGGGCGGTGAGCGAGGAGTGCATAGGATAAGAGAGGAGGACAGCGTAATCATTTTGGTGGGTGGCAAGGTTGAGGTTTTGGAAGTGGGTTTTGACGTAGAGAGCTGTTTGGAGGGAGGGTGGAGTGCCGGCGAGGTGGGAGTGGAGGGTGAGGTGGCGGAGGTAGGTGGAGAAGGTGTAGTTGGTCGCCGAGGAGAGGAATGTGTCTTGGTAGAAAAGGGGGTCCTGGGGACTTCTGGAAACAGCGGGGTGGCGGTGTTGGTGGAGTGGGAGGATGGTGAACAGGGCTAGAATAGATAGGGTGAGGAGCAAGAGAAGGGTGCATGTGGGTTTTGAAGAGGTGGCCATTTTGGGAATCGTTTGGGAACAAGATTGAAGCATCTCTAGAGAGAGAAAGAGGGAGAGTGAGTGAGGGTTTGGGATGAGAGTGGATAGTTGAGGAGGTGGTGGTGGTGGTGGTTGTGGTGATGATGACGACGAGTTTCAGCGGGAGTTACGAGTGAGAGTATGTGCTGTGTTTATTACTGGTTGGACTAATTACATTGCCTCCGCAAAAAGTTTAAGTAAGTTTCACTTTATCCCCTCTAAGTTAGAAAATTCTCACACGCCATGCACGTGCTGTAACGAGGGATAATTCAATAACCACATATATATATTTTTAAAATCTCTTTCCATTATCTTTCCTTTCTCTCTCTTTGTCATCGCGGTCAAGACGTGACAATAATAATTATCGATATGCAAATATTGTACACTAACACACATAATCCACAACCATCATCAATGCCACTACATCTACAATGAAACCCAACATCACCATCAATTTGAACAGTCACAGACACAATGCCATTACCATAGTTATTGGCACACATGAATACATTCAACCTATGGCAGCCATTAACCCTCATCTTCACACAAGCCACCATGTCCCTACACCCAATACCAACACCACTAATCCATTAGCAACAAACTCTTAAATCCGTCTCAAGTTCAATTAAGTCCATCACCACCACAAATTATATGTTGGTCACTCACTTGCAAGCAATAAAAAGAGAGAGAATGGCGGTGCGACAATTAGGGATAGTGGTAGTCTCAAAAACAAAACGACATATAATAAAGAGAAATGAGGGAATGGGAGACTTGTGGTTTGGGTGGTCGAATCTAGGCCTAGCTTATAATGGGTTGGATTCAAAACCAATAGGCAAGAAACCCAAGGTTGTATTATTTTGGGGGCACATTGCAATATTTATGACAAATCAGAGGAACCATATGAAATTTTTAGCTTTTCAGGTGATAAAAGGCAACTTTTAGAATATTTTAGAAGAAAAACTCAAAAAGTGTCGTTCCCTTTTAGAAATAATGTCATTTAGATCTAAAATTTTTGATTTTATTAATAGACATAATAATATAATTTCATTAGATTAACTATAGATCCCATGTTATTCAAGATAACAAATTTTATATTGATAAATCAAATTCAAATAATATGATTAATTATTTTATCTTTGTATAACAATTATTGTAGGATTAATTACACCGTGTTATCTAAAATATTGAGTTTGTCTTATTTTTGTTCATAATATTTAAATTGTATTATTTTGATCTATGAAATATTGAATACATTTCAATGTGGCCTCTCAAGTAGATAATATCTAAATTACTAATGATTTTTAATTAAAAATTTGCCACATAATACCTAAATATAGACAAAAAAATAATTTGAATATCTCTTTTTCAAATTTTTACCCAAATTTTAGTCAAAAAGTTGCCCAAATCATATAATTTTTTATCATAAACTATCTAAATTTTGGTTAAGATTTATCTATATTATACATTTTTGATCAAGAACTACCCAAATTTTGGTGAAGAGTTCTTCAAATTATTTTTTGTCAATGTTTAGGTATCACGTGATAAATTTATAATAAAAAATTATTAATAACTTAAATGTTGTCTGTTTAATGAATTATATAGAAATATATTTAATATTTTATGAATTAAAATGATATAATTAAAATATTGGAGATTAAAATAAAATAAATTTATTTTTTCGGGCGTCTAATGTAATTAACTCATTATTGTACTGACAAAGTGATATGGGTTTGTGATTATGTGAGTGTGATGCAATGAATGAGCGTACTGCAGAGATGATGCCGAAACTGCCTTTTCAGGGGAAAATCATAAGGTTGGGGATGAGGTCAATGGCAGGTCTCGGTTGGGTCACAGTGTCCATGTTCAGTCTATGATTGGATGTACATGTACTCTTCAGGGGCTTGAACTTCCTTGGACCATATCTGGACAAATACACTGTGTGGTAGGTCCAACTCCAACTTTGTTATGGAGAAGAATGTTCATGTCGGCTTCCTAATGTCCAACTGCAAAAATAAATAAAAGTGTATTCTTCGATAACATATATAGAGGGTAGCGATTTTTCTGATAATTATTGTTTTTACTGTAAAATTTTAAAGTTACGAGTTTGAATTTGTTATCTTCTTCTTTGATAATAATATTTTTTTATAATGTTCGGATCAGTTTATGCACACTTTACTTAATCTTCTTTCTAATTTAATTAAAAACAAATCATTCACATTTAAATTACAATATTAATAAGAAATAAATATTTGGTCTAATAGCCATCGACTTTGCTGTTAAAATTGTGGGCTTGAGTTTCCTTGTTCCCCTCCCAAATAATAATGTCATTTTTTTTTTCGTATTCAAAACAGTTTACGTGCATTTCAACTACTCCTCTCTCCAGTCTGGTTAGACCGGCGGTTATTAGGCGGCTTTTTCATTGGCTTTTTGGACAAAAATAATTTTTATAAACACCAAGAAAAAGCTAAAAAGGGGGACTTCTCTAAAAACTTCAAAAGGAAAGTTGATTTTTTCGAAAACAATCCAAATGATTCTTAGAGTTTTCTGACTTTGATTTTTTCATTTTACTTTTCAAACCTCTGTTTCACACTTAAAGAAGTTAGTTCCAAATAGATCCTATACTTTGATTTGAGCTTTTTGCCATTTGTAGAGCGTATAGGGTTTTTTATTTTTTAATAATTGAGAACTATAGTAATGTCAAACTATTTAAGTCAAATTTAGAATCTCAAGATAATAACTCTTGAACCTTTATATCTTAACTATCAAACATGTTTTTGATAAAAAAAAAAACTATCAAACATGTTCATTAAAACTTCTTCTATGGTTTGATTTTGGGTTATTCTAATTGAGCTTTTTAGTTTAAGTGGTCTTTGGTTGTTTTAATAATTGCAAAATGCAATAATGGTCCAGTATTTTATCTCACTTTAGTCTTTATTTTTTCAATTGTGTCACTTTAGTTTTAGAAATTTTTAATTTTACTTCAAATGGTTCAATCAAAGAGCGTTTAAAAAAACCTAAAATAAGACAAAATGCAAACTTTATAATTAATCATGTATGTTGCTCTTTCAACACATTCATTTGCAATTACCTAATCAACAAGTGGAATTTACCTTTAAGGGAGTTCAAAAATGCAATATCTATTTTATTCAAAAGACATAAATAATAGAAAAGTGTTTATAACCAATGGAGTAAAAGAAGAAGGTGATTTGGAAAGCTGGTATTTCTTTTTTTTTTGCTACAAGGTGTTTAAGCTTGTAAGACTATTCCCTCGAGTTCAACGACTGACCACCATGACTTGAAATGAGTTAGAATATATTTTTAAAGAGTTAAATGTGACTAGTTTTTAGAGAGTGTGAAAAAAATTTGAAAAGTTGATATGCTCTCGTGGATAAACAATAGATATTTGAATATTTGATTCTACCCATATCTTTCATCAAAAAGAGTTGAAAAGCCGGTCAAAACAACAAAGGGGAAAATACTTCCTTGAAAATAATTCTAATTTATATTAAGCTAATAATTTTTTAGAGCCCCTAATGCTTTGTTTGTAAAGAAAAGAAATTAAAAGGAAAGAAAATAGAGTTAATATTTTGTTTGGAAATTTTTTAACTCCCCAAGTGTAGGATGGTTTGAGGAGAAAAGAAAAATAAGCTGGCAACTCCGATGCGTAATTGAAGAGGTAACAATTTAGGGCTCTTAGTCAAATGAGTCCGAACTGAGTTTTGAGCCGAGCTTGAAAAACTTGTTTCTTAATCGAGCCTAAAAAATTGTTCAAATTCGGCTCGTTTAGGAAACGAGCCGGCTCTAAACAAATCAAAAATAAATCGAGCCGAGCCTGAGTATTTAAACATAAACGAGTTAAGTCTGTCGAGTTTGAGTCAAACTTGTAGGGCTTGTCTTTTAAACAAGCCTAAAAATTTGTTCAAGTTCAGACTCATTTAGAAAACGAACCAAGTCTAAATGAGTCGAACTTGAGCCAAGTTTGATTAACAATACTAGGTAACATAGACGTGTTATAAATTTAGACGTCTTTAGTTTAAATTTGGACAACTAATTAAGGTTAAATCTTAAGAGATTTATCTCTAATAAATATTTTATTTATAATATAGATGACCTACCTTTAAACAAACTAAATAAAAAATTAATTAAAATATACATAAATTAACCTGAACATTCCTAATTGCCGGGAAAAAAAAAATGAGCTAGTGATTGCCTTTTGTTGTGAATCCAATACTAAGGGGACCCATTGAATAGGTGAAGAATAGAAACCAAACGAATAACTCGTGTGGCTATAAATGCACCCAAAAGGACCTTGTCTAGGACAGAGACTCGAGAATTTTTCTACATTTCTCTACATTCAGCATCCCACCCAAATAGTACCTTGTCCTATACCATGAATATCTTGGGTCCCAAATACTGTCCTATTTTTTTCGATGGACGGGGCCATAAAAGAATAAAATTTTATTTTGAAACGTTCAAAACGTTTCCGTCTTTGATGGTACCCAAGTTGCAACTAAATATAGAGAATACTACAAGTCAGTTTGATTGATGTCTTATAAAATGAGCTTATTTAAGATCGATCTTTATATGTTAGGATTAATTCTACATTTTAGTTTTCCCCACAACTTAGGGCTGGCCCAATAGTTTAAAAAATAAAATTTGGGCTTTAGCTCCCAAACTTTCAGAAGATCTCATAATTTAAATTGGGGCTTAGGGAGATTAGTCGTTTTTTTTAAACTTATTTAGATTTAAGTATACTCAAAAAAACTTATTTGAGGATAAGTTTATTTTGATCTCTATTGTCCAAAATACCCTCAATAGTTATTTTTAATCAAAACTTTTTTGAAAAAACTAAGGTTGCATATGGTAACGTTTTCGATTTTTAATTTTTTTTAAAAAAATAAAAACTGAAATGGTTTTCATTTTACTTTTTATAAAAAATGAAAACCAAAAACTTGTTTGGTTGTATTTTTTGTTATACAAAAAATTAAAACAAAAACAAAAAACTTGTTTGATAAACACTTCTAAATTATTTTATGAACAACTTATTTACACCATACACTTTTATGCTAGTTTAACTGTAAAAATAATAGAATATAAGGATAACATATTAAGGCATAACATAATTCATAAACATCCATA